GTATACATATGTAACAAACCTGCACGTTATGCACATGTACCCTAGAACTTAAAGTATAATTTAAAAAAAAAAAAAAACTTACCCAAATGTTTTATTTGCATAACAAGTTTATTTCTTTTAAAAGGCATATAGACAATAAACAAAGTAAATATTTAATCAGATCTTAACTTCTGTCCTAGAATTGTTCCGTTAAGTTCTAGTCTGTAAACACTTGTAGTTCAATAATCATCATCTTCATCAGAGTCCATTACTTTTCTCCTGTTGAACTGGGAGGAAAATTAAGTGAGTGTCAGAACCTTTCTAATAAAGAGTAACTCACATTTTCTGAGGAAAGAACATTTCTACCAATTTTAGCAAGACATTTGTGTCTTTAAGGCAACTTAGTGTGAACTGAAAGGGTGGGAATGGAGTCAAGAGCCTATAAAAATTGGAACCCTCCCCCAATAGATTCAGCCTCTCTCTCCCAACTTTCACGTGTTATAAAAGGAAAATGTCTCTGGGCTGAAAAATGTGTGGTAGATGTATATTCAACATTAATCTTTAAAGTATCCATCTTTTCATTTGCCACGAGCATCTGGGGACACTTACTTTCACTGTTGTTGTCTTTTCTGTTTGTTGGCTTACTTTTTTAAGGATTTCTATTAAACCTTGTTCTGATACCTAGGAGAACCAGAAAAGATAAAGAAAAACAGTACTTTTTTAAACAAAGAATTTACCTCTGCAGATGGAATCACTTTGTAGTCTTTTTGAGGTGTGGGGAAAGAGCTCAGGAGGGAAGGAGTGGTAAGGAAGCAGGTTGAAACTACTGGTTATAACTATTGGATTAAGCTCCAAATAAAATTTGCTCTGCTATTCCTCATTTGAGGAGGGGGAAGTATCCATAAAATTGCTTCCTCAGGAAAACTGAAAGCTAACAGGTATTTAGGAACACCTTTATCATCACCAGCTGAGTGTGACAACCACATATACCACCGTGTTTGGTGTCAGGAATACAGACACACCACTTCTGCCCGAGAAGCTTAAACATCCCCTTGAAGGAGGTAAGTCACACTAGGAAATGATCAGCCTAATCAGCTCCCCACACGCCCCCCCCCCCACACACATACACAAGCAGTTCTCAGTGTAAGGGGTTAAGGGGACAGGACTGATTCGGTTAGGCTGTGGTGGTGGCAGAGGGCTTCTCAGGGCAGGTGGGGCTCATCTGGATCTCAAAGGTCAAGTTTGTCAGAACATACCCCTCATAGCATTACAGCAACACACAGAACATATCCAAGGGATCTTAGCACCTTCTCATCTGCAAAACACACCTTCTACTTACACTGGTAGTATTTTAATTGGTGTTACTGAGAAAGCTTGTTTCCAGTGCAGGGGCAATTGAAGCTAGCTGACCCTAACAGTCATTGGGTCACAGACACCAACGAGGTTCCAGAGCAACGCCAGGAAAGCAGCAAAGCAGAGGAATTTAGGAAAGGCAATTAATTCTCAGGTAAGTATGACTATTCTCTCCAACAATTTCTTCTAAGAGTCAGCAAGAATTCTGTAATCCAATGAAGATGCAGCTGACCTTTTGAAGCCATGTTTTGATAAAGCAGGTAAAGTTCCTCAAGGCAGTCTAAGCTTACCTTCTCACTCAGCTGTCCATATCTTGCCATCTGTATGAGGTAATTCTCCACTGCTTTAGTTTTTTCAGGCTTTACAAGTGCTAAGTTACTTACTAAAAAGAAAAAATATGCAAAAACCATTAAAATCAAATGCACTTACGTTATACCTTAAAACTATGCATTGATATTTCCAAAGCACTTCACAAGCTTGTTTCTCAACCAGTGTAGGGCAAGACAGTATTGTTACTCCTCTTAAAAATGAGAAAACTGAAGTTCAGCCATGCCAATCTCCACATGGGCATGTGGGGGTATTGGCCCAGCCAAGATGAAACTTGGGTTCTCAGATTCTAAGCACCATGCTTCCTGTTCCTTAAAATATATGACTGCCCTCTGGAAAGCAGTTTATCTATTACACATACATAATGGTGGTGATCCACCTGTGGCCACCTTTTCTACACTCAAACTGGGCTTCCAGTTAAAACACAGAAAATACCAGTTTATTCTGATTGGCTCATTTTTTCTTTCTACAGGTTTTGGTTTATTATGATGAACAACTCTGAACATACACTAAAACTGACGATACATATAAAAAGTCCCTAAGTCCCCATCACCCATGTCAACTACCAGCAACATTTTGAGATTGGCCCTGAGTTTCCTATAAATCTTACCTAATACACACCTGGAGAAAATCTTGGTAAGAGAAGTGACCTCGTACTTTTAATAGGGCTTAAAGTACAGTTCTCTAGGTGTATAAACTTCGCATTTCTTACAATCTCAAGTGTTTTCAGCCTAAGCAAATATTTCATCTAGTGATAAGAATAATGGCATATAATCACCCCATTCAACTAACTCAAGCTAACTTTATGGAAATGAAATCAAAGATGCTTACACCTGGCCCGGGCCGACTGATCCAGAACTTGGGCTAAGATACTGTTTCTCATTTCTGCTTCCCTACAACAAAAACATAGGTCAAGCACAATTAAAACAAAGCTGTCAGCATTCCCCTGGAACATACAAAAAAGAACTCATCCAGTATGTGTCTCCACATGGGGCCTGCAGTATACACAGTGTTATGGTACTTGCTCTACACAAGGCTGCAGCTACATTAAAGTAGAATCCCCTTTTGCCCTCAAAGAACCAGCTTTATATTACACAGGTGAGAACCTACCAGGCTGGAAGGTGAGCTTTTTTCATCAGAGTGGAGCCTCAATTCAAACACCATCACCAACATTCTTAAGTACCTATTGCACGACAGGTGCTAGAAATTTATAGTGGGATTTCAGGCTATTAGAAGGACCATGTGACTAATCTATATCTTTTTTTAAAGCTGAGATCCAGGAGGCTATGCTAAAGAGACACAGGTAACTGTGGCCAAGCTATAGCCAGATTCCATGTTTTTAGACTCTCAGTTCTATTTTTCTGGGTGGGGAAGGGGAATGAAATTATAACTTTACAACTATCCTCAATTCTTCCTACCTACCCAAAGAGAAAGTAGTTCATGTCCACAGGACAGTGGTCTCATGGACTTAAGTTTTTTTCTTTCAAATGAAATCCTTTAAGGAATCTAAAAACAAATGAGCACAGATACTTTGGCTCAACTGAGAGGGAGAGCTAGGGCTGGCTGTCTACTCACCATCTACTCCCAGTTCAGAGGCCCTTGGGTTCATGGAATGTGGCTTAAAGCTCATTTCCACAGGCCACTTCTTTACTGCAGCCCTGCCACAAACTTTGAGAGATGGGGTCTAGGCCGGGCATGGTGGCTCATGCCTATAATCTCAGCACTTTGGGAGGCTGAGGTGGGCAGATCACTTGAGGTCAGGAGTTTGAGACCAGCCTGGCCAACATGGTGAAACCCCGTCTCTACTAAAAATGCAAAAATTAGCCGGGCATGGTGGCAGGTGCCTGTAATCCCAGCTACTTGGGAGGTGGAGGCAGGAAAATCGCTTGAACCTCGGAGGCAGAGGTTACAGTGAGCCAAGACTGTGCCACTACACTCCAGCCTGTGTGACGGAGCAAGACTCCATCTCAAAAAAAAAAAAAAAAAAGGTGGAGTCTCACTCTGTTCATGCTGGAGTACAGTGGTGCAATCACAGCTCACTGCAGCTACGATCAGCTCACCTGTCCTCAAGTGATTCTTCCACCTCGGCCTCCTGAGTAGCTGGGTCTACAGGTTTCAGTCACCGCACCTGGCCTGCCACAAACCATTATATCACAGAACCCTAAGATGCCATCAACTGTAAGATGCACCATGGGTATTACATGAGATATGTTTTACGTATCTCTAAAAATGAAAAAAAAAAAAACACCCTACAAATGAGAGGTCTAACAGAGACCTCCATTCAAACTGGGGTATCTTGGGGGGCCGAGGTGGGAGGATCACTCGAAGCCAGGAGTTTGAGACTAACCTGGGTGATATAGCGAGGCTATTAAAAAAAAAAAAAAAGTTTAAAAGAATTAGCCAGGCATGGTGGTGCACGCCTGTAGTCTCAGCTCCTCAGGAGGCTGAGGTGGGAGGATCACTTGAGCCCAGAAGGAGTTTGAGGCTGCAGTGGGTTCTGATCCCACCACTGGAGTATCAAAGAGCAACATTCTCAGTACAAGGTAAAGAAGAAATAAATCTGCCACGCAGTAAGAGGCAGTACAAAAGCTTGCATGCACCTGGCCCTGAGTGAAGAAGAAAAAAGTTCAGTCTTACAGGGTTGGTGTCTGAATTCACACTACTAGGGAGGAGGCACGGGAAAACCTCAAGCAGAGAATTTAACTTTCAGTGGTCTCAGAAATGGACTCAAATGGTGGCAGTCTAAAGTAAATCCCCTCTGAAAGAATCTGGGGCAAGAGCAATCCGTTATAAAAGGCATCCTGATTTCAGATATGTGAAAAGATGTACATGGTAGAATCAATGAAATTCACATCGTTTTACTTCCTATCACTACTCCAGATGCTTCTTACCATCTGTCTTCTCCCGAACTCTCCCTGCCTTCCTATTTTTGTAGACCCAGCACAGTGCCTGACCCAGAGTAGGTGCTCTATCAATATTTGTTGGAGAGAAGTTAGAAGGTGGGGAAGGGGAAATGGAGAATTGTCCAGTAACCTCAGGGTTTCAGTTTTGCAAGATGAAAACATTCTAGAGTGTGAACACTACTGAAGTGCACACTTAAAAATGGTTGAGATGGTGAAATTTTAACCGCAATTTAAAAACAACGGTAGCAATAAGGTAATCACATACTCATTCAATAAACCTGCCACAGAATCAATTACCTGCATCTGTCTCAGGTGTTCTGCCCTGTGTTGGGATAAAACAGTCAGAATAGTTTAACAGTTAACACTTACTGAGCACTTACTAAGTGAGGCACCGGACTCATGTCACCCCCACATCCGAGGAAACTGCCACAGCTGCCTATTATCAGGCTCATTTTAAGGTACTCACGGTTTGGCAGAGAAACATCAACCAGTAATTGCAATACAAGGTCTGAGGTGGAGCTGCACAAGTGTTTATTTAACTAATAATAATGAAGATACCCTGTGGATGATTTTGGCCAAATCACCATTCCAGCAAAACAAAAGATCTGAGTCACACACCTGCTTAAAATAACTAAAGCAAAAGAAAAAAAAGTTCAGGTTTCCAGCCCATACCTGTGCTTTGCTTCCTGTTGGGCCGCATCGCCAGGATCCTGGAAAAAAAAATTAAATTTAATAGAGAAATTTCACGGGGGGGGGAGGGGGAAAAAGGAACGGTTCCGTTGTTTCCTATACATAACAGTCTCTTGCAGTGGTAGAAACAACTCCCCAAATAATGAAGAAACTGGGCCTCACAGAAATCAATGAACTAGTTTCCACTTACAACGTTTTGATGAGCGTCTAAAATCGACCTCACAGAACGCTTTGGAATACAGAGCACCCTGGGGAGGGGAATCCCTGTATTACGAAACCGTGTTTTACGTGTAGGGATAATTTCTGTAAAATAAAACGGGCCTCGGTATTAGGGACAACGGTAACTCAAAGACTGCGCCCTCCGTCCCTCTCTCTATTAGAAACGCCTCTCCGGGCGTCTATCCATCCAAGCTTCCCGGGCGGCCCCTCCCTGTCATCCCGGCGGGGCGAGCGTTCCTCTGACCCCGCCGCGCGCTCAGCACCGGGAACACAGCGGACCCTCAATACCTGTCAGCTAAACTTGGGTCAGAACAACTGAATTCCGGAAAAACTGAATTCGGTCCGGTTGCTGCTGGTTCCAAAAGCTGAGATTGTGCTTGGATCCAGGGCCGCCAGGACGAGTCCGCTCCAGGCCAGGGGACCCCACACCCCAACGCCTGGGCACGTGGCGG